CCTGTGCTGCGGGCACAGTTAATCAGTGTGTATCTACTGCAGAAACATCATCAGATTAATTTTAGGAAAACAAAATAGTTTCCTGACAAAATTAGAGCTGAATCAAAGATTTAAGTTGCCGGTTTTTGCAAGGAGAACTCATTATTTTTTTTTCTTCTTTTTTCTTCTTCTTCTTCTTCTTCTTCTTCTTCTTCTTCTTCTTCTTCTTCTTCTTCTTCTTCTTCTTTCTTCTTCTTCTTCTTCTTCTTCTTCTTCTTCTTCTTCTTCTTCTTCTTCTTCTTCTTCTTCTTCTTCTTCTTCTTCTTCTTCTTCTTCTTCTTCTTCTTCTTCTTCTTCTTCTTCTTCTTCTTCCTTCTCATTCCTCCTCCTCCTCCTCCTTCTATTTTTATCTTTTAGCACCACTAACGGAGATGTAATTTACTATTACGGAAACAAAGGAGACCTGGAACCTCTCTTCCTAAATCCCGGTGGGTTAAATAAAAAAAAAGGGGGGTGGGTGCCTTGATTTATTTAAAGCAGTGGTGTGGCTGCATACCTGCTTATGTGTTTTGCCATGATAGACATGAAGACAGGTGCTGAAGCTCAAAGGGAAATGTCATACTTGAAAGATTCAGAGGTGGACTAGCTACTTGCTGTGGACCAGGGGTGTCCGATCTTGGCCATTTTAAGACCTGTGGACTTCAACTCCCAGAATTCCTTCTCTGAAAGGTTGATCCACACGAGAACTCAGTAGCGTGTTCAGGAGGGTGGGAGCAGCTGACATAAGCAGCATCCTGGCATTGTAACACAAACCACAATCTTGCACACCCGACCCCAAATGGCCAAGCGTGCATTGTGAAGGCCACTGTTGTCATGTAACGCTGCATCTCCCATTGTGTATATATTTGGGGCCTTTTTGTAATAGCCAAGCTCCAGGAACAAAGCAAACAGGGAACTCTTTGATAAAACAGCCACAAACCTTTTTGCTGGCTAAGATAACTTCGAATCTGCCATTAGCATTTTCCATTTACAGAATTCTGTTCCTAGCAAACGGACTTTTATCATACTGGGAGACGTGATGTCAAGGCTTTTTTATTTCCCAGCTTATACAGTGCCCTTTGAAACTACACTTCAATATGATAACCGAGTTATTGCGTTGAAGTGTATCTCTTTTTAGCAAGTGTTCCAAACGTATGAACCTTCCAGATTATGCAGGGTGTCTTTTGTATAATTTTATTCTCCTAAACAAAACCAGTGGATGCATATCTTGCTATCTGGTTAATATTCCTTTTTACCTTGTAAACTCCAAGTAGCTTCGGGAGAACTTTGCCGTATCCCCACGTTTTAGTTTCCCAAAATTCAGTTGCACGCATGATGTAAAATGGTAACGCTCAGCGAGAGTTGGGCTGAGAGACAAGCGATGTTGTCACGGTTTCTGTGTTTCTACTCAAACCTAGAGAGCTTGATTTTTGTGCATGTTGTGAACTTGTCACCAAGGAGAGCAGCTATGGGGCAGCTCCTTCCATGCTTCGTTGGAGAATCCCTGAAAGTAGATGTAATCTCGCCACACAGGGGTATACGGCTTGAGCAATTCTTTGCTGGATACGCCCTGGAAGAAACTTCAGTATGGAAAACAGCTTTTTACAGATGTCATCAAACACAGCCAGAACCTCAAGAAAGAGGAGCTGATCCAGGAGCTGATTAAACTGATGAATAACCAGGACCCGTAAGGCTCCATGTCTTCTCTTGCTTTGCTCCAAACCATTCTCGGGTGACTTCAGATGTCCAAGTATCGGGCATATTGAGAGTTGTAGGCCATCAACATCTGGAGAGTCATAACTGTTCCCCGCCTTGACTTACAAACTGACTTACTTGCTGGTGGCGTTGTCCCCATCCAGAATCCAGAACTTTTAGCACACAATGCATGTCTTTGCTATACAGACTGGGCCATCTGACTTTCATTTAAAAAGGCACCATGACATCCATCAGATTGAGACATGCCATTATTACGAGGGCAAGGAGCTTCTGGTCCATAGTGCCCCATATAAATATATTTCCCCGAAAATAAGACCCACCTGGAAAATAAGCCCTAGCATGATTTTTTTTCAGGATGCAAGTAATAGAAGCCCCACCCCCCCAAAATAAGCCCAGTTAAGATTGTCAGCCGGACGGATGCATTTAGTACCGTATTTCCCCGAAAATAAGACCTAACCCTAATGCGTCTTTTGGAACCAAAATTAATATAAGACCCGGTCTTATTTTCGGGAAAACATGGGTAGGGAGACTGGAATGGTTTGTGATCATTATTGGACACCATAGTTCAGCAGCTCCCAATCTTTTGGGCACCTCGGACGGGTTTCGTGGAGAGTTTTTTTTCTGTGGACTGGGGGGGGGGGACCTGGTTTTGCACGCTGCCTGCATCCCGTGTGTGAGCGGTGGGGCTTTGTTGCTTGCAGGGTCTGGGTCCTGGCTGCCCACAGACCGATGCTGGTCCATGAACCAGGGATTGGGAACCCCTACCGTAGTTGATCAGGGATATGACCCCAAGCTTCCCTCCCCTCTCTATGAGTGCCTATCCCTAGACCTGCTTGCATTTTGGGTGCTTGAGAACAACTGTACCGGTGGCTCCAGTAAACAACGACAAGATTACCGCCATGCCACCAATAAACACCCATCTAAGCACAGGAAATGGAGAATTTCAGTTCCATGGTCTCTAATTCGGCTTCTTTTGATCCAGTCAGCTTCCGGACCCTGCCATGGAGGATCAGGGAAAGGATTACGTCCTTCCGTTCCTAAACAAGTACGCAGCTCTGTGTGTCCGATGCCCAAATTATGGAACCAGGTAAGAGGAAGACTTCACCGTTTGAATTATTTTGGTGCGGAGGTAGAAAACCTGCCAGCAAATACAGCCCTCCCAGACTGTAGCTAATCCTTGACTTAACCATTTGAAGTTAGAATAGCACTAAAACAGTGCTGTTGCAACCGATCCTGATTCCTAGCAATCGTCGCAGCATTTCCCACGGTCACGTGATCAGAATCTGGGCACTTGGCAACTGGTATGTATTTACGACAGTTGTAGCCTCTGGGATCACCTGATCACCTTCCCAGCCAGCTTCTGACAAAGAGAGTCAATTGGGGAAGCCAGAAAAATATTGTTATGAGAAAGTGTCTCTGGGGCTAACCAGACACCTGGTGTAACGTCCTTGAGTCTCATCGTCTGGCTTCTTCATCTTTTGAAGTCTGCATTCCAAACATCTTGCCTATCCCCCCCCCAAGTTCGTCGGCAAGCTGAGAAATAATATTTGTTGCACCAGCAAAACTGTAATATTACAATAATAATAATAATAATAATAATAATAATAATAATAATAATAATAATAATAATAATAATAATAATAATAATAAAGTTGGAAGGGACCTTGGAGGTCATCTGGTCCAACCCCCTGCTCAGGCAGGAAACCCTATACCATTTCAGACAAATGGCTGTCCAGTCTCTTCTTAAAAACTTCCAGTGTTGGAGCATTCACCGC